GGCATCCCCTGCCGCCGTGGGGATGCTGGCAGGGAGGCTCCGTCCTGGTGGACGGGGCTGGCACCTTGGGCTGGATGCTGGCGAGGAACTGGGCCACGCTGCGACCGCGGGGACAAAGCGCTGGGCAGGCGTCCCTGCCTGCAGCTCTGCCTACAGCCACGTCTGCATCCCCAGCCAGGCCACACCCCACTAGCTCAGCTCCCAGCAAGGAAAGCCAGGGCTTGGGGATCCCAAAGCCCAGCGAGGACAGAGGAGGGCGGTGACCCAAAAGAGCTTGAAAACTTTCCAGTGAGAAGGAAAGGCTTGGGGCCAGCACCATCCCCCTCTTCCTCGCCTCAGCATCCTTCCCCCTGTCGCCCACCACCCTGGGAGCGCCATCCCTGGCGTCACCCCGGGGACCTGCTGGCCTCTGGCACCTGTGGGGGGGGCTTGAGAGAGCAGGACCTGGGGGGGAGCTGGCTGTGCCGACACTACCTGATGGGACGCTGGTCTGAGTAGTCCATCTCGTAGCTCTGCATGGAGTCGGTATAGGAGTCACGGGAGCTCTGCTGCTGGTTCCTCATGGGGTACTGGTGGACGGAGGCGTTGGGCTGGGAGGTGGTGTAGTACGGCGGTGGGATGCTGTTGCTGGTCTCGCTGCGATAATCACTGTCCCGGTCATCCACCGTGCTGTCAGGGTCATCGTCTGCAAGGGGCCGCAGTGAGTGGGACAGGGGACGGCCCCGCTGCTGTTGTGGCCAGGGATGCCCCAAATCTACCCCACCCCTGGCACAGCCTCGCTGCTGCCACCACTGTGTCCCCACTGCTGTGGGACCTTGCTGGGGAGACGGACCCAGGAAGGGGTGAGGGGCAAGCTGCACATATTCCCCTCTGCAGAAAGGAGTTTTGGGGAACAAGGGGAGGGCAGAGGCGGGAAATGGGATATACAGAAGGGGGGAAGAGGAGGACAGCGTGCAGGGACCCTCCTTCTGCCCCACCGATGTCTCGCCACAAAGGCAAAGCCTGAGCTGCTCATTGCCACCAGGGCACCCCGAGGGCACAGAGCCTCACGGGGCCCCGTCCCCGCCAGCCTGTGGGGACAGCCCTGCCCAGGACAGGGCGCTCAGTGCCTCCGTCCTCACCCAGCACAGAGCCACAGCGTGAGCCACAGGATGGACCAGAGCTCCAGGTCTCCTGAGCCCCGGGCCAGGCTATGGCACGGCAAAGGGGGATGTGCTGCGGGCCGCCAGGCTGGGAGGAGAGGAGGGGACAGGATACTTACTCTGCTGTTCTCCCCAGCCAAAATAATTCCAGTTGCCTACAAAAAAAAGGGGCAGAGACAATAAGGATGGAGGCAGCTCCAGGGCAGCAGCAGGAGCTGGCTGGGAGGAACCAGCACCTCCCAGGCACGGTGGCACCAAGCTGGACTCGGCACAATGCCCTGAGATGGGTTGGGGACAGTGCCTAGGATGGGGCACATTGGCACTGAGCCATGCTGGGGACAGGGACTGGGGCTGGGCAATGCAGTACCAGGACGGGACGGGGATGGAGCCTAGGGATGGGCACGGTGACACCGACCCAGGCTGGGGACAGCGCTATGGCTAGGCACAGTGGCATTGAACTGCACAGGGGACAAGGCCTGGGGCTGGGCACAGAGGCGCTGAACTGTGCTTGGGACAGTACCGGGCTGTGCATGGCCCTGGCGTGATTACAGAAGGGGAAACTGAGGCACAGGTTGGGACAAACCGAGCTGCCACCCCAAATCCCCCAGACCCCTCTGCCAGTGCCCCACTGAGCAGCCCCCTCATCAGCCTCACTGCCCCTCGCCCAGGCTCCCCGAGGAACCGTCCTTACCAGCCCCATTGCCATGCCCCCCCACGCCCCTCTCCCGTACGGCTCAGCCCCACGGGAGGGCTCACACACTGTGGGGCAGGGAGAGAGCAAAGAAACACCAGCAGACACGGGAGGGAGGATGGGAACGGGGACGGGGACAGGGTGTGGGGTGAAGTTGAGCCCCACTTGGGTTGGGGTCCAGCGCCCCAAGGCAGGCACAGACCCTGCTTCTGCACATCCCCGGTGTGGGGAGCTGGGGGGATGGGGCAGTGGGGGGGTCCCCCAGCAGGGCAGCAGCAGGGCAGCACTTACAGCACTGGGAGCTGTGAACGGGCAGAGGCTTTTCCTGCTCCTCCTGGAAGGCATACTGGGGAGAGACAGGCCGGTGAGGGCTGCCTGTTCGCAGCACTGCTGCTCCCTGCCCAGCCCTCACCCGGGGCCTGACTCTGCACTGACTTACATCGTCCTGGTCCCGCATGGCATTGAGCTGCTCCAGCTTCTTGGCCCAATACCTGGCCTCCTCCTCGGGGATATCTGCAAGGGCAAAGTCCCCACGTGGTGCACAGACCCCCCCCCAGAACAGCCCCCCAGCTTTTGGGGCTACAGGATCAGACCTCCAGCCCCAACCCCGAGCCCCATGAGCATCCCTGGGGCTGGGGGCAAGGAAGGACGCACCCCAGTCCTAGGATGCCCAGGGACAGTACCCACCCAGCGGCAGCTCGAAGCGGGTGTCAAGGAGGATACGGTGGAAAGTGGGGTCCTTGGTGCCCGAAATCTCGTTGTCGGTCATGATGACCTGGGAGTCGAGCGTGAGCCATTCCCCAGGGCCCTCCTGCAGGGTGGAAATGGGGGCTGAAGAGAGCTGGCAGGGACCCCCCCTTCCCCGGCCCCACAACCCCATGCACACAGGGTCCGGCCCCAAAGCAGGGTCCTCTCCAAGCAGAGGTGGGGAAGGCTCTGCCCCCCACGAAGGACAGCCGGGGCTGGGGGTGGCTACACGTCCCTTAGGGTCCAGCGGGGGGACGGATGTGCCTGGCTCCCTACCTCATTGGACTGCCGGATGGTCCGGAGGGGGATCCACACCGTCCCCACCATGGTGTCCCAGATGAGCCCCTTGTTCCACACCTCCACTGTCAGGCCCAGGTCGAGACGGTTGATCTCGCTGGGGAGGGAGGGGAGAGGCGTCAGGTCACCCCCCTCCCCAGCAGCCCCCCAGGGCCACCCCAGCCTCTGCCTGCCCCCTTGGCCCCAGGACTCAGGTGAGCCCCCCCGGGCTGGGGTCAGGGGGAGCACCGGCAGTGGGGGACCTCCCCCTGATGGGGGGGTAGGAGGGAACAGCAGGGGCGGGGGACCCCGGGGTGGCCCCTGGACACTCACAACATGAAGTCCTGCTCCCAGGAGGGCAGGTTGCCCCGCACCGCGATGGTTGTGCTCTTGACATTTTGCACCTTCAGTGTCACGTAGGTGTTAAACTTCTCTGTGGGAGCAAGCAGAGGGTGACGTGGCCGGCAGTGCACCCCCACCCCAGCCATGCCCCCACTCCCTGGACACCCCCC